TCAGATAAAACCTATTTTATTATAACCTATTTCCTTGCGTTGCGGCATTACTAAGTATATAGGTACGAGACTAGCTATACCCCACGACTTCGTCCGCGTATTATAATGCCTTCTGGCAGAATGTGGATTTTTGAATAAGTCTTTTCCGAGGTTAATTCTAATGCTTTTTAACAATTATTATCAAAATCGATTCAGTACTTGTTATATTTATTGTAAAATGAATTCTTTTTTTCAAAAAATAAGCATTCGCACATGGGTTTTATCCGTCATTCCAGTGAGTTATCAGTGATAAAAATTATTTAATGTCCTTTACCGGGTTGCAAACCACTGTTGTACCGAATTTCAATAAAATAGGTTCAATGATTTAAAAGATAGAGTTCCGGAATATTAACACATAGGACCTTTGCCGTGGAATTTCCGGGACAGAACTATTATCTTTCTTATTTATAATATTAGTGTAGATTATAAGTTACTAGCTATTGTCCACTGTTTCGCTCGTGCTCATTTATGGAGTTAGGGGAAGATTTGTATAAATATGAAGCCACTAAGTTTTTTGTTAGTTACAAATAGTCAAAATACCAATTTTAATCTTTCTAACTTGAAAATTGTGAAACGCTTTGTATAAACCCACCATTTTAGGGAAGCGGGGGGCTAGAAAGAGATAGAAAGTAGCCCATCTCACTTTCTATCCCTTCAAGTACCTATCTCAACTTAAAAACACGTCAATTCGCTTTGTTTTGTCACGAAAGACGGACAAACAAACAGACACACACACTTTCTCATTAGTATGGATTCGATTTTTATGTAAAAACGCAACAACTTTTTTACACAAAAAGTTATACTATCATTATAAAACGTGGTAAAATGTATAGATATTATTTTTATTCAATATCTGAGTTATTGAGAGAATTAGAGTTGATGAGATTAGAGATGATTACAGAAGTGTGTATGACTAGCTTTTCTGCCAGCGGCTTCGCCCGCGTTCCCGTGGAATAAAAAGCCTTCGTATTATTTTAGAGTTCCAGACCATAATAGACCCCTGTATCAATTTTCATCTCGATCCCTTCAACCGTTTTGATGTGAAGAAGTCACAAACATACAAACTTTCGTATTTATAAAATATTAGTAAGATAGAGGAACGTGAAGAAGAAGAGAAATCAAAATACCGATTTACTGCAGTTTTTATTATTGACATGGTAAAAATAATCTAGCTGGTGACGCCAGAGGTGGCTTTATACCACCCCATTTGAAAGTTTTGAGTGCAATCGGAACATAGGCCCATGGAGAGGTAAATATCAATCCAAGTGGCCTGTTGCCTTAGCTTCTTGTTTTCGAGCATTGATCTTCATGGCTTTCTACTGAATTTTCAGCTGATTTAACTCACGTCTGCTATTCAACTCGTTAAACCTAAAAAATACATAAAATGAATGTAAATATGATAAAATGTAGCTATGTTTAGCCAAATAACTGTACAGCATTATGTGATTCAGATACTATAGGTTAACATAATATACACTGCCCACATATTCGGCTGCATCTGCATGCTTATTATCTCTGAACAAAGATCTGAACAAATGGAATAAAATAAAAATGCTGAAAAAATCTTACCTTGTATAGGGTATATTTATATTTCCTCCCACTCTTTTATCTTGATTGTGTTGGTGTTTGTGCTTAACGATTTATTTTCAATGATTTGAAAATATTATTTTGGAACCGAGGCGTTATAATTTTATGGCTGAAATCTAAAAATATATAAACAATATGAAAACATTTTTTCTTTGTTAAGATACGCCATAATTAACAGGCATCGGGAGTATTTACCTTTTGTTCTTTGCGCTAGTTAATAGCGCGGCTGTGCTTTTCGCTCGTTTTTCGTTATTTATAAATTGAATTGCATATTAATTATGTAAGTAAACAAATTAATAATTTTTCGACAAAACTGACAGCAACTTGTCAAGATGTCAAGCTAACATACATCTGTCAATAAAGCAGTGATTTCATAGGTTTTATACGATTTCATACCTCCTTCTCCGTCTTTTTACTTTTAAAATTTCTGGGTTACCATAATAAAAGGATTAAACCTAGTATAAGGATAGTATTGTTATTCCAAGGTTATTACATGTTTATTAATAGGAATTCAATTCTGAAGTTAATACTTTGTTAGTCCGGGTTTAGCTAGTCCAAGACTAACCTGTGAATGAGTTTGGAATAGGAGATTTTTATTAATAAGACCGTAAGAGTCTAATACTCTCTCTCGCCTCGACCAAGATGGAAGATGACGGATGGACGATGAAGAAGACTTGAAAAAAGAGTACAAAGCATGATTGAAATGTTTGTCAATTGGTATTGGACTTTTTTTGTTCTGTGAGCGACAAAATATATATAGAATGCAGTACAAGAAGGAAGAAGAAGAAACTGATATAATTTATGTCGACCTCAGATGATTAACTCGTTGAGTACAGTCTTTATAGACACAATTAAAGAACAATAGGTTGCGGTCACCGGTGTTCCCCTATACTTATTATACTCTTTGCACCGGTGTCCTCGTGGTGTTTGACAGTTTAAGGATAATTTAGCAAATACAATCAATATTATGATTGACACACACAAAATCATTTGTGACGACTGCAGGTCACAGAATATATGCTATGCCTTACACTTTAAATATGTCTGTGGTCACGCTATGTGCGTTTCGGTCCCGCACACTGTACGACGTAGACCTTCTGCAAATATCCCATTGAATGCACAAGTCTGGTACTAGATTGTTCTGTCTGCACTGCGCAGGTCACAATTAGTACTTTGTACATTTAATGCAGCCATAGGATTCATGGGACACTGAACAAAATATAAACAATCAGAAGGTCTACCTGCATTGAGAAGAGGAAGTTACAAACAATTGGTTGTTGATTGTGACAGATGATGTATAGAATGGAAATCAAAACAGGGAGGTATGAGTGATTGTCTTAAGAGTTAAATAGGTACGGGTCACTCATTACAGAATCTCTCAAAACCCTATATTTTTAAAAACTGCAATCTTTTGTGTGAAGATCTACGATTATGAAAAATCCACAACATTTGTTCATATAAAAGTAGATAGTTTCTAAACATGGGTACAATCGCCTCGAAGAGCCATCAGACCACCACAGATGGGGCCCAACAGGGCCGATGCCGATTCGGAGTCGCGGAGAACTTAACGGGTTGCCGGCGCTCCGGCTCGACGTGCAGGAGAAGGAACGGGGTGGTTTTTAGTCAGTAAGAGTCTGACACTCCCTCCCGCCTCACGCAGGCGGGAGCAATCATTCGATGATTTTCCCCCATTAAAAAAAAACATGGGTACGATAAGGTTTATAACGGAGTCAGTGGAGAGCGGGCACCGGCGACCGCTCGAGGACTCGGCATTTGGTAAACCCTTTTATGTAGAGACCCATAGGCTAGCAGTCAGGGCAACCTTAGACTACGCTGCGGCCCTTCGGCACACAATGGTTCGATAACCTTTTCCTATGTTTTTTTTTGCGTTGCCCCACATTACATAGTTTTCTCCTATGTCGTGGTTGTGTTTGCAAACATACGAGTTCACATACACATGACTCCTCTGTAGCTAGCAGTCATGCTAGCGGCTAGGCGGCGCGCGTGAGGGAACGAATCTCCTGACGCCCCAGCCGTCGCGAGGGACACTCTGGGCGTCGGTGATCGCGAGACGATCTCCGGCCAACATAAGCACGGGCCTGCGGACGGCAAGCACGAGTGACTCGCTGCCCGACCAGAAACAGGCCCGAGCGTAAGGTGCGTCTCGTTCCGCGCGCGCCTCAAGGATCCATCAGACCACCACAAATGAGACCCAATAGGGCTGATGCTGATAAAGAGTCGCAGAGGGTTTAACGTGTTGCTGGAGCTCCGGCTCGAAATGCAGAAGCAGGAACGGGGTGGTTTTTAGTCAGTAAGAGTCTAACACTCCCTCTCGTCTCACCCAGGTGGAGCAGTCATTCGATGATATTCCCCCTCAAAAAAACAAAAAAGACCCGTAACCACAATTTGTAAATCACAAAGATTTTTTCCGTGCGGGAATCGAACCCGCTACACGTTGCACGGAAGCCGGTTACCACGCAACATGTAGCGGGTATACGTCTGTCGCAGAAATTGTCGGTACTTCGGGACCTTCTGAGGATGGGGGCCCTGGGCACGGGCCCCGAGTGCCCTTATAGCAAAGACGATACTGCCAGCAGTGAACTGTTTATGCAATGTGGTATGAATGCAAAGCAATGCATTGGCAAAACGAAGAAGTTGACAATTCGTGGGGGCTCCAAATTATTCAATACAGATAAAATAAATGTCGTGGTGGCCCTGAGGTTTAAGAAGCCCGCTTCTCATGCGTGAGAGTGCGGGTTCGGAGCCTACCAACGGCAAGTACCAATGTGACATTTTCCGAGTTATATGTAGTTTCTAAGATTATTTAGACACCATTAACGATGAAGAAAAACATCGTGAGGAAACCTTGGCTTTATAATTTCTAATTATAAGTTTGAAATCGCCAACCCGCATTGAGCAAAAGTTATGAATAATGCTCAAACCTTCTCCGCGTAAGAAGACGCTTTGATCAGCAGTAGGCATTTATAAGCTGTTGATGAATGAAATAAATGAAATTAATAAGTTCCCTGGACCTTCTGCATGCGTCGTAATGAGTGCACATATCTAGAATGTTCTGTATGCACTGCGCAGGCCCTGTGTTAGGATCAATACTTTGATGTGTGATATATTTGTAGTATCTGTCTGTGGTACATTTTTTTTAATTTTTTAATTTATTCATATTGCACAATGTACATATAATATAAAGTATTACATACAACTAATTAAGTAGGTACATTACCCTTTCAGGGCGCAGCAATTTAATACTTACGTTACAAAATTTAGTGTCAGCTGAAATTTATAACTATTACTTAAAGCTATAACTATTACTTAAAGCTATAACTATACCTATATATTAACTATTTAAGGGATTTAATCACATAGGTAGTGATAATGTCACCCCGTGACTTACAATGAACATATCAAAAATCTAAATATATGATTGTTATGTTTTTATTTTATTTTGTTTTATTGTTTGTTTGTTTGTTATTATTTTATGTAAATAGAATAAGACTATCTATATATATCTTCTATACATATAAAACTGTAGAGAGGTGAATTCTGTACCCATATGAAATATATTTCCAAAATAAGTATGTTTAACATGATATTACAGGATTTTAATTTAAATGTTGAAGGAAGTATAGGTACGTTAGTGTCTTCTTTCTTTTATTTTCGTAGATTTTTAAAAATGATCTAAATAGATAATTTTTAAAGACGCATTCATCATCATCATCATCAACAGCCTATAAATGTCTACAGCTGAGCGAAGCCTTTTCTCACACTGAGAAGGTTTGAGCATTAATCACCACGCTTGCTCAATGCGGGTTGGCGATTTCAAACTTTTAGAAGTCATAAGTCCAGGTTTCATCATGATGTCACTTCACCGTTTGTCAGTGGTGTCTAGATAATCTTAGAAAGTACATATAACTCGGAAAAAGTCACATTGGTATTTGCCGTTGGTAGGTTTTGTACTCGCACCCTCATGTATGAGAAGCGGGCGTCTTAAACCTCCGGGCCACCATGAGTCCATGACAGCTTATCTTATTATTTGTTCATGTACAATATTAGACTGCCTCGTTGGCCGAGTGGTCGCAAGGGCTACTGCCGGGTCTCGGGTTCGATTCCCGGGTCGAGCAAAGTATTACTGGGTTTTTCAACAAAAAATTTCAGTAGTAACATGGAGCCTAAAACTGTGCCCGGTATATGGCAATAGGTTCACCCCTATTACATGGGAGTCATAGCATAAAAAGTGGGTGTTACAATGTACAGTGGCATTAAGTGGCGTAATGTGCACTTCTGCTGCACCTTCGGCGATAAAAGGCATGATGTAGATTTTCGGGTTTTCAAAACAAACTTCTATCTACAGCGAGCCTTATTCTAAAGTTTGTTTCATATTTATAGAATAGATATAGAATTTATAACATAACTGGCGAATGTTTAATACACCTCTGTTCACCCTTTCTACGAATAAAAGCGTAATAGTACTTACCGAAAAAGTTTATTAGCGTCATCTCTTGGCACATTGACGAACTTTTTGTAGACGAAGTTTTATTATAGTTTACTTTTCAGTGCCATCCCTTAATATACCTTCTAAATAAAAAAAACACAAATGAAATGCAGCAGAACTTACAACTATGTTCACATTAGTCTTGGAGACAACTTGTGTTCAGAACAAGAATTTAGATTAATGCCACGATAGATGGCGCTGTTCTTAAGTTTATTTTTAGTCGAATTGACGATCGGCTGAACCTTATCTTCTCTTGCCTTATTACAATGCCTTTGTTTTAATAGCCTGATCTTAAGGCAAATAAAAGTTTGTATAATGGAGTCGTTTGCCATAATTATTTACTTTCATTGGGTAGTATTGGAAGACCACTAAGAAACGATTTCATGAATGTGAAAAGTCATCGCAAAATAGATAAGCACAACTCCAACCCAGCAATTAACTTGTCATATATGAACTTTAAATCGAATGTCATACATAGGTACGACATATTTCACAACGATAATATAAGAAAGCATTAAGCGCGCCGACCTCTCGTTTAAACCTTCTTATATTGGTTTCGAAGCAAAAACTCCGTGTCAGTGCCATGGTTGAGTTGACTCGTGGTTGTTAAGTTAAATGACGGTACGGTTGACGCAGTGGCTAGGCAACTGTTCGATTCCCGCACGGAACAACTCTTTGTGTGATCCACAGATTGTTGTTTCGGGTCTGTATGTCATGTGTATGTGAACTTGTATGTTTGTAAACGCATCCACGATACAGGAGAAAATCCTAATGCGGGGTAACGCATTAAAAAAATGTACGTGATGACCTTTTAAGTCACGGGCAAAAGGTATTTATTTATTTATGTATACTTTATTGCACGCACAGAAAAAAATGTTTAAATTGTAATAGTATAAAATTCTCAGTAGTAGCACGGAGTCTGGAATTGTGCCCGGTATATGGCATGGCACCCCCTATTACATGGGATTCATAACATAAATAGTGAAAAGTGGGTGTTACATTGTACAGTGGCACTAAGTGCCGTAATGTGCACTGCCTACTCTTTCGGGGATAAAAGGCGTGATGTTAAGTACTTACTATACAAAAAAAAAAACAATATGAAATATAAATTGTACAATCATTTTATTAAAATAACTATAAAATAACTTATTCTCTAGTTTTTGAGTCAATTTACAAAAGTATAGCCAGAATGCATTCTCTCGGATGAATAATTACAAAGGTCTTATTCTCAAGGTTTTATTCCCAGATCGAAACTGTGGGAGAGCCATGCTTCGGCACGAATGGGCCGGCTCGACCGGAGTGATACCAGAAAACCGACGTGAAACAACGCTTGCTTTGTGTTTCGTCGTATGAGTGAGGTTACCAGAGGCCCAATTACCCACACCCTAATCTTCACAATCCCTGAATCCCCCACACTCCTCAAATTCCTAATCCCAAAAGGCCAGTAACGTACTTGTAACGCCTCTAGTGTTCCAGGTGTCCATGGGCGACGCCGATTGCTTACCATCAGGTGATCCGTCTGCTCATTTATAGACTTATCCTAAAAAAATAGGACAAAATGTGGCTAAGATTTTTGATTATTTTGATTTTGGTAAATCGAGTTTAGAATTAAGCTCGAACTCAATAACATATCTGGCAACAAGTAATCATCTTATACTATCACTAGCTGAACCCGCGATTTCGTCCGCGTGGAATAGTGATTCACAGCTCCTCCCCCGTAAAAGATAACATGATAATATGTAGTCTATATGTTGACCCGACCTGTAAGTACTATTCATGCAAAATTTGAAGTAAATCCATGCAGCACTTTTTGAGTACATCCCGAACATACATACAGACAAACAGACAAAAATTCTAAATATCATATTTTTGGTTTCGCTATCGACATCGTGTAGATCATGCCCAAAGCATTGTTTTAAAAAAATATTCATTACCATGTACAGTTTTCACATTCCAACGATTTTATTAAAATATGTATAGATCTATCTTATCTTATACTATTACATAGAGCGGAAGAGTTTGTTTTTTTGTTTGTTTGTTTTAACGCGCTAATCTCCCGAACTGCTGGCCCGATTTGAATAATTCTTTTTGTATTGGATAGTCCATTTATCGAGGAAGGTTATAGGCTATAAAACATCACGCTACGTTCGATAGGAACCGAGCAGAAGCAGCTAGTTCTTTTATAAACTAAGTGTAAAGAGATCGACTTCATATCTCCTTCTTTTGAAGTCGGTTAAGTAATATACTAAAACCATCTCTTAATTAAACAAACATTTTTCTGAAAACCTCATCAAAATCGGGTCAGCCAATACCGAGATAATTGCGCACATACATACATACATACTGGTAAATTTTAGAACCTCCTTTTTTGGAAGTCGAGTAGTAAAAAGTGGGTACTACTGTCATTCAACATGGTTTTTAAAACCACTGCCTACCCTTTAGGAGCTAAAGTAATAATTATACTATTGATTTCTATGTTTTATAATAACTATCGTGAGACATACTAAAATCGCGGGTTACTCACGTGAATATACCCTCTCGCGCGTCTCGTACACGGGTTTAATAGAAAGCGAATGAACTATACTGTTCAATCAAATAAAGAACGGGTTGCAACTTGAAAATATACATCACAGAAAAAGTTTCCAATCGGTGCAAGTCACTCTCGTACACCCATGTGTATCTACAATTGCGGCGATGGGCACTCAACTCTCTCGTACACCCGTGTGTACAAGAAACGCGCGAAAGGATACTGAGGAAAGATCTACTAGTTTCGAACCGCAGAGGGGTTCTTCTTTATGAGCAGCGTGCGCGGTCGCGGCGAAGTTGAGCAGCCTACAGAGCTCAGAGAGCTGCTTAATTGAGCTTTTCTCAGTATATTCACGTGAGTAACCCGCGATTTTAGTTAATTTATTAATTCGTGTGTCTTGTCACGTCGCCAATTTGCTGATATCTTCATATTGAACGCCTTTCACTACGCGTCCGGTTAAAAGGCCTTCTGAAATCTGAAAAGAAAATTTAAATTATCAATTATCCGTTTTGTACATTATTTTAAAACATTAGACACATAACATAGGGTAACGGGTAGGCAGAGGTGCACGTTGCGGCACTTAATGCAACTGTACAATGTAACACCCACTTTTCACTATTTATGTTATGAGTCCCATGTAATAGGGAGTGAGCCTATTGCCATATAACATTAAACATTTTATTTGTCTGTAAAACTATTGTATTACCGAGACAAAACCATTTTACTTCGGGACGAAAACGAAATAGAGTTCGCGGTTTATCATCATCAACAGCCTATAAATACCCACTGCTGAGCAAAGCCTCTTCTCACACGGAGAATGTTTGATTACAAACTTATAATTAGAAATTATAAGTCCAGGTTTCCTCACGATGTTTTCCTTCACCGTTTGTCAGTGGTGTCTAGATAATCTTAGAAAGTACATATAACTCGGAATAAGTGACATTGGTACTTGCCGTTGGTAGGTTTCGAACCCGAGAAGCGGGCGTTTTAACCTCCAGGCCAACACGACACGGTGTATACTTTCGACGATATATTGATTTGAAATACCGCGTGACGTCACTTCTATGTACATTTTATACGTAGAAATGACGTTTAGCCCCCACTCCTAAACTTTGATTCGTTTTATCTAAGTATTGTTTTAAATACGACGAAATAAAAAAAATACGTGTCTAATATTTTCTCATTATCTAACTGACGGACTAATTAGATTTTTAATTTTCATTCCCTGTCATCATCCCTATTGCATGGGACTCATAACTGGGATTGCAACATTTAACTATGTATAGTTAAATTAGTATAGTTAAGTATACACCTCTGCCGACCCCTTAAATGCTATAAAAATACATAAATAATGCCACAAACCTCGACATCGCAGCAATAATTGTCTATATCTATATCTCTGAGTTGTCCGGTGGATCCACGGTACGCGCCGTTCACGAAGCGGACGGACCGGCCCGTCGACGGGATCACTGTTTCTAGGTGATTCTGTAAAAAGTTAACATTATCGATAAAAATAAATTTAACAAAGTAAGAAAGAAATGTTTGTTTTATTTTCGATTAGGGAGAACGCCTCGTTCGTGAAGTGACCTTTCGATCTAAAGTTAGAAATCCGGATTAAATAATAGGGTACTTTTTATCCCGGAAAGATTTGATATTCCCGAGGGGAAAAAAGTATTGGTATAGATGGCGCTGTGAGTATTGGTATATGTCACATAGGCTACTTTTTATCCTTTTGTGACGCGAGCGAAGCCGCGGGTAAAAGGTATTATTAAATAAACTAAGCTACTTCTTACCTGATCCAGTTTAATTCTAGTATTCTCATCCGTAAGTTTAACATGCGCGCAGTATTTGTCGACTACTCTCTCAACGATCGCCTTCTTCTTGTAGAACTTGTCGCCTAGTGATTTTGTAGTGATCTTCACTACAATCCCTTCGCAGAGCCAGTAGTCTTTTCTGCAAAAACATATAAAAATATTAACATTCAGTTGTCTGTCTGTTCCGTTTGTTGAGTGCAAGCGTGACTGTCGAGTATGGGGCTTGGGTTTGATGTCGAAGCATACATAAAATAATATCACGCCAATTATCCTTAAAGGGACAGGCAAAGGTGCACATTACGACACTTAATGCTACTGTACAATGTAACACCTACTTTCCACTATTCATGTTATGAGTCCCATGTAATAGGGGGTGAGCCTATTGCCATATACCAGTCACAGTTCCAGACGCCGTGCTACTACTGACATTTTTTTTAAAACCCAGTAGTACTTTGCCCGACCCGGGTATCTAACCCGAGACTCTTATCCGGCAGTCGCACTTGCGAGCAGTCGGCCAACGATGTGGTCATGTCGAGGCAAAGTACCTAATAATAATAATCTTTTTCTGTTTTTGGAAATTCTCAGTACGAACATATCAACCGCTATGTTTGTTGAGGGTTCAATTCCTGCACGACACAATTTGGTTTGTTGTCTGGTGGCTGGGCGACCGGCTGCCGCGCATCGTGTAGCGGATTCGATTCCCTTTGGAGCAACTTTGTGTGATCCACAAATTGTTGTTTCGGGTATGTGTGTCATGTGTATGTGAACTTGTATGTTTGTAAACGCACTCACGACATAGGAGAAAAATTCTAATATGACGCAATTTTTTATAATAGAAAATAGGTTAAAATAAATTATTTATATTCCTAGGTTGTTTAATCAACAGTTAATTCTTTATTTTCAACAGTTAATTCAAGAAAATCAACAATCAACAGTCAAAAAATCATCAGTTAATTCTTAACTGTAGAAAAAATTGACAAATGACAGTTTTTAGTATGGAATAATTGGGTAGTTTCCTAAATTTTATTATAATAACCGTCTGGTACATTGATTTAAAACTTTAGACACGTATTTTTTCTTTTCTCACAAAATTCAATACTTTCGACGATATATTAATTTGAAATATCGTGTGACGTCACAGCGTGCCACATTTTGTAGCACGTTATGACGTAACGACCTCCCACTCCTAAACTTAGTGTCATTTTATCTAAGTATTGTAACTTAATACGAGAAAATAAAATAAGTGTCTAATATTTTTTCATTATCTAACTGACGGACTGATTAGATTTTTAATTTTGATATCCTGGAAACTACATTATTAGTCATGCCTTAGTTCTGAACTACCTGATGATTCAAAAATCGACTCTTAACTCGTCGAGTACCGTCATTATAGACACAATTATAGAACAATAGGTTGCGGTCACTGGTGACCGCTTGGTGTTTGACAGTTTAATTTCTTACCTATTAGCTCTCTCTTTAGCTTGTTCCTGCATCTTCATGATCTCATCCAGAGCCGACTGTTTGTTTTTGTTCTCTTCTATTCTTTGCTTTTTAGAACTTTCTTCTTTTTTAGAGCTATCTTTCAGTTTGAGTGCTGAAACTGGCAGCGGTTCTGTTTTCTTTTCTGTAAAGATAAAAGTTAATATAGCGGTTGAAATCATAACGGAGTGATACCATTGCCTCATAGAAAACCGACGTGAATGGAGTCTGAAATTGTGCCCGGTATATGGCAATAGGCTCACCCCCTATTACATGGAACTCGTAAGATAAATAGTGAAAAGTGGGTGTTACGTTGTACAGTGGCATAATGTGCACCTCTGCCTACCCCTTCGGGGATAAAAGGCGTGATGTTATGTTATGCAATATCCAAATTAACTTTAACTGTTCAATCCCAAAGTAGTCACCGGTGACCACTGTCCGCTACCTCCATTATAGACCTTATTTCCGATGTATAGAGACTACTTTTGAATGAAGGAATTCTGGGTTTGATATAATTTCAACGTATTAACTATGGAACCTCACCTTCAGCCTTCCTCTTCAAACTGAGCACCACCTTCTCCTGACTGCTCTCTCTCTTGAACTCCGAGTACGATGGTCCGTCTGAAGCACCCTGCTTCTTCCCACGTTCCACCTGCTTCTGTATGAATTCTAGCATCCTTTCCTGCAACAGAGTTCAGGTTGTACACGTGCTATGGTTCGAGAAAATATATAAAAAAGTATTTTTTTTGGGATCTATAACATAAATAAAGTTACGGCACGAATGGGACGACTCGACCGGAGTGATACCATGTCCGAGCAGAAAACCGACGTGAAGCAACGCTTGCGTTGTGTTTCGTCGTGTGAGTGAGGTTACCGGAGGCCCAATTATCCCCCCTCCCCAGTCCCCGAATCCTTCACAATCCTCAAATTCCCAAAAGGCCGTAACACACTTGTAACGCCTTGGTGATCGCGAGCGATTGCTTATCTTATACCATCAGGTGATCCGTCTGCTCGTTTACCCGGCATGTGCCATAAAAAAAATTGAAAAGTGGGTGTTACATTGTACAGTGGCATTAACACCCGAATATTGAAAGGCTACTCAATTTCAAAATTGTATTTAAATATCGTGCCATCTCTGTCATTTTACAAAAATCTGTAGTGACCGAACTATACCTTTTTTTTAAGGGGAGAAATCATCGAACTTCTCCCGCCCGGGTGAGGCGGGAGGGAGTGTCAGACTCTTACTGTCTAAAACCACCCCGTTCCTACTCCTGTACTTCGAGCCGGAGGCCCGGGAACCCGTTAAGTCCTCCGCGGCTCCGTATCGGCATCAGCCCTATTGGGCCCCATGTGAGGTCGTCTGATGGCTCTTTGAGAGGCGCACGAAATGCGACGCATCGTACGCTCGGGACAGAAGTATACTTAGACACGACTTAAAGGTGAGTGTCATTTCCGTATTCGGGCATAAGTGCCGTAATGCCATAATGGGCACCTCTGCCTTCTTTTGTGGGGATAAAAGGCATGATGTTAGGCATGTGTAATTAAATACCTGATCATCCTTATCCATCTTCTCCTTTTTAGCCTTAGCTTCCAACGCGGCTATCGCAGCTGGATCCCTGTCGATATACGCCACAAACCACCCCTTCTCCGTTTCATCGACCACACACTTGCCTTCACGTCCCAACCATTTCACGAACTCCGTTAAAGTCTCCCATTGCGTAGCGTTCATGTGGAGATGGTCTCTGAAATAAATAAAGCATTTTAATTGGAAGTTCACAATAAGAAAAAAATGGGCCTCTGAGTTTGTTTCGGTATTTCTTCTCAGAGTAGTCAGTTATGAAATGTCGACCTCATCGTTCGCTTGATAAAATTGACTTGTAATTGTAAAAGTGCTGCCTTGTAGCCTATTAGCAGAAATAAATTCACTTGTTTCACAACATTAGATTATAGTATATTAGACTATTTGGTTTCCTTATGGCATCCAGCATTTCTTTCTTTATTGAAACAAAGAGTTTCTTTTTCCTTGAATAGAAGCACTAAATTTATGGATTGTCAGTGTGCATATGAGCATCATGTTACACTATAAGATTTTTTTGTTTTGTTTTTTATTTTAGTATGTTTTGTAATTTAAAAAATGCATCAAGCGTGTCTTTGCATTGTTCCTACATATACGTACAGTATTGGAATATGTATCAGAGACATTGTAGAACATACTTTTTTTAATAAAAAGAGTAACAAATGGAATTTCTTGCTCGTCCTTCACCATTCGAATCTACACTTTGGAATAATTATTATGGAATGTCTTTACCATTCATGGGAGCACAGGGTTCAGATCATTTGGGAGGCGTACAAGGGCCCGAAACCAACTGCGCAGAGGCCCTTTAGACAACTTTAATCTAAATGTAATGGACACACAAACCGGCGACTATCCTTGTATGCACTATGGAAATGCACCTCAATTAGTGTAGACTATTGTAGATAGGTAATGGAAAAAAAGGTAGGGCTATGTTGTTGTGGACTGGTAAATTGGAAACTATGGATGACTATGGCACCTGCCGAAACAATGTAATTATTACACGTAAAAATGGCAGGTAGAGACTCGCCAACTCACCGACCAGGTCCTGGGAATTACTATTATTTATGTATCAAAAGAATAAAAAATTAAGAAATAAAGAATTATTATTATTATTATAAAGTACCTGAAGTAACTGATAATTGAAATAAATGCATTGACATTCACTTTGTAAAGGCATTTATTTTAATTAATCATTATACATTTGTTTGTAAGTTTGTCTATTAGTCAAGTTAAGTATACAACAATAATTGGAATACAATGGAATGCTGGTATCATTATTGACATGTAATCAAATTAGGAATCACAGTAGCTGAATTACCTAGCCAAATATTATTATATATTTAATTCAAACAGGCAGTGAGGCAACTGATACATGTCTGTGTCGTATTTTTCGATCAGTAGTTTATAGATAACGGCACGGTTGGCGCGGTGGCTGGGTAACTGGCTGCTGCGCAAAGTGTTTCAGGTCTGTTTCCCGCATGTAACATTTCTTTGTGTGATCCACAGATAGTTGTTTTGGGTACAAGGTCACATGAACTTGTATATTTGTAGACACACCCACGAAAAGGGAAAAAATCCTAGTGTGGGGAACGTTTAAAAAAAGTCCGATTTTGGTTTGAACTGGTTGACATCCTACGCAGCAATTACATCTTCTGGTAGCATGTTCCATGCTCTAACTATGGGATTGCTTAGGTAATATCTATGAGGGTTAGTTTTCGATAAGCTTTTACACAGCTTAAGGTAGCTTCCAAGGGCCTATTCTTCAATCCGTTAATTCCTAACTGAGGATTAACTTTGAATTTTTGGCAATTCTTCCATACTAGACTCTGTCATATGTCAATTTTATTCTACAGTTCAGATTGACTGATGTTAACTGATGATTGAAAATATGGCCCTTATTATAGATATGAACATTTTTTTTATTTCATTCATTTTCATTTCAATATCAATAATTGAAAATTAACACTAGTTTTTACATCTATTAAAGACTTATATTAGAGTTTAAGAACAAGGATAAACTTTAAAACAACTTACCTATGTGAAATGTACTCTTGATATACTTTATTGGCATTAACTCTTTTCGTACCGAACTGACGATGAAGGAGTTCCAAGTATCCATCAGCGAACTCCTTGGAGAACTCGTCGATGTACTTGTTGGCGTTATCAGCAAATAACAGCAGCTGCCTTTGATGAGACTCCGACATGGTATGACACTTGAATCCATTCTCGTCTCGGCACTGTTTCTGACACATCTGGCAGTACCATCGCAATTTCTGCAAGCCCTTAGCCTTTATCTTGTTCGCAATGTACTTTGGAGTACCTTTTTCAGCTTTTCCACCCATTTTTTTGATCAATTTTCGATGTTACACAATGAAAAGTATTGTCTGTCGTAACTTAACAAATTGGACGTTATAGCAACATTATATTAGTATTTTAAGATTTGTGAAGTTTAATTCACAGGTTTTATTGGTTTGTAGAAATTACACTATTTTCAAGCTTAATATGTTTACGTAAATTATGAGTAAACAACGCGAAACAACCAACCGTAGACAGAGAATAGAGGTAGACATGCTCTTTGAATAATAATAATTGCAAGGGTGAGATGACAGATTAGCAAAATGTGTATGTGTGAGCAGGACATAGCATAAATTTTTTGTCTCTATTTGCGTATCGGTTTTTGTTGTTTGGCATCACTGGTCATTGATGGCAAACAAACTGTGGTGTCAAGATATTTTCGTTGTTAAAAACTGTGAAACGCATACTTTGTGTAATCTAATTTGTGACTTTATTGATATTTTAGAAGGTAATATTTAGTGTCTAGTGATGGTGAATTGCTGTATAAATGGCTGTAAAAGTCGTAGTGAACGAAATCAACCAAACATAACCTTTCATCGGTAAGTAGCATTTTTTACCTATTACAGCCAATAAATCAAAGAAATATTGTACTCAAGACAATTTTGTGTCAATATTAAGCGAAATTTATTGATAATTTCATCTAAAAATACAATAAATTCCTAACTTGATTTTTGTACTAACCGACCAAAGTGGGAGACATTTTATGTTAGGTTGTTATCTATGTTACTACGTGTCATTTGTTAATAGTCGGATAATACCTTGACAGGGATACCAGCACTTAATTATTTTTACCTCACATTTAATTTTTACTTTTCTTTTAGATTTCCGAATGAACCAATTTTAAGAAAAAAGTGGACTGAGTGCACGGGGCGAATTAACTGGCATCCAAGTCGTCACTCCCGAATCTGCTCCCGACATTTTGAAGCTAGTTGCATTCGACAGAAATTAAATAGTACTCACTTAAATCCACATTCGATACCGACTCTTTTCATTCAGGTAAAGTAAATTTATTATACACCACAATTTGATTTACACGTATACCTAATTAACTTTGATACTTAAACATTTGTTGTGACTTTATTTCTTGTGACACAGAAATAATATTTTAAACATTATTTGTTGTTATTACTGATGACTTTTTTAATATTATTACATGGAATATATATTAATAGTAATTTAATGAATTAATTATAGTCTAAGAAATGTATAATGGAAAGTTGAGCTACATGGAATTAATTTAAATGGAATATACATAAACCTAACTAGCTGTGCCCGCAACCTTGTTAGCGTGGACTACAGGATTTTTAATTTATATTTTCTAAAATGAAAGTGGCCTATGTTACTCCTTATTAATCAGCTATCTGCCAACAAAAAAGTCCCGTCAAAATCGGTCCAGCTATTTCAGAGATTAGCCCGGACAAGCAGACAAAAATTGTAAAAAATGATATCTTGGTTTATTTACCGTATATATATTCATGTGCAGGTAGTAAAAAGTTTATTCAATATTAGTTCAGTTATTTCAATATTACAAAAAGACGCTCCAATTTTATTTATATGTATAGATAGATTATTAAGCTACCAAACAACGTAAAGCAGATACTGTAAAACTAACTTATTTGAAAAAACATTAAATATTGATTATTTTAGCAGTTAATCGGACATTCGTGTCCTTTTTGTTTCAAATTTCAGGTCCAACCGGCTTTAGATCAACCGAGTACCTCTAAATGTGATACTTTGGGGGTTGATGTGCAAGCAAAGGATTATTTGGTACTTACTTATTTAAATTGTATAATACGCGCGCGAACTGAATTCTTTCAGGGCCTGTGACAAAGCGCGTAAATAAATGTGTTAATTATGATTTGTCTAACTATACTATTGAGCTGAAATATATTAAAATTACAATTACAATTCATTTGTTTTCACGTTTCATCTTCACCCTGGCCGCATTCAGTATTCGCTCGAGTGCTGTTTTATTTTCCACAGTACTGTTAACTAATAATCTTACAGCACTTGATTATAAAGTTTTGCTATGAGAGTAACCTGAAATGTGAAAATAAAAATTACCTGTTTCATACAAAAATGCATGAAACTGATGTTTTATTTCCTATCAAGTATATATCAAAACGTTCCCCTCTTTGAGGCGTGATTGGAAAGACCTTACGGCGTCCTTACCTTCCGCATGACTCAGGTTCTCACCGGACACGGCAAGTTTGGGAGGTACCTGCTGCGGGTGAAGGTGGAGGTGACGTCCGGGTGTCGGTACTGCGCTGACCACCCAAAGAACACGGTGGAGCACACCGTGGAGGTGTGTCCCGCTTGGGACGAACATCGTCGTGTCCTCGTGGGGGCGATTGGCGGCGGTGATCTCTCGCGCCGGGCCCTGGGCCTGAGGAGGGGTGGCAGGCGGTCGCGTCCTTCTGCGAAGCAGTAATGCTAGCAAAGGAGGAAGTCAAGCGCTTGAGATAACGGCGTTTGCGTCTCAGACGCGACCGTCGCCGGGGATCCCGATCCCGATTTCCGACCTCCATAGCGCGAGCTTGCGGGTAGAGAGCAATGGGTAGCTCGCCGCCTGACCGTCTGGTAGTGATCCGGACCAAGCCCAAGTCGTCTATGGCGTGCACTGTTCCCGCGCGTCTCATAGAGTTGGCAGCAATTAGTACGGGCCCAAAGGGCCGAAGCCTACTGGGGACTGGGGCGAATCTGAAAGGGCATGCTCTGACCCCAGTACCACAGGCAAGAAGGAACGGAGTGGGATTTTTTAGTCAGTAAGAGTCTGACACTCCCTCTCGCTCCACCCAAGGGCGAGAGAAGCCATTTGATGATTTTAACCCATTTAAAAAAAAACATCAAAATGTTATAAATACCCCGCCCCTTGAAAGTGTAATGACTATTTTATTAATTGAATGACTCGTACGTAACGAATAAAGTACTAGATTACCCACACGATGGGGTAAACATTTAAGTATGGCAATATTAATCACACATAGCTGTAGTAACGTACTTATGTCAAACTATCGCTATCTCATACTGCATACGCTGAGGACTTGTCTACCTATATTCTCTGTCTACGCAACCAACCAAGCAACTTGACACCACGCACAGGTAATAAAAATGAAATGACGTCTGACGTTTTATTCACTCCGATGCGTTCCGAAATGTTCAAATTCTTTAGAGTATTCAAATTCTTATTATATATATTCAATGCTTTATTTTTTTAACTGATACACAATTTTACGTTTTCTAATCAATTAATTTTAAAATAAACAGTCCTGTAAATTATTCCTTCATATACACACCAAATAGTTCTTGAATCAAATTAATAATCTTAACAAAAATGCCAAGAAGCTACTAAAAATTGACAAGTAATGACATCAAAAAAAAAAGATGGCGCCATTTTCGAAATAAATTATGAAACTGTGATTGTGATTTCATCATTATCCCATTTTTCCATAGAAATAGGAAACAGAAACATTAAAGTTAATTAACAAAATTATGAGTTTCCTTCGGTCCTTTAAAATTCTTGTTTATGTCTGATACGCATCATAAATTGGTAAATCAAAAAATGAATATTTTATACACATCTCAAAAGTTACAGGAATTATTTTTTGATGTAAGTACCTAACAAGCCCACACTATGTGTATTGTAATATAAACTATTGTATGAAGTACTAACTTCAACTTAACGTAGATTTAATATCCTGCCCTGCGGCATGGTACATAACAGCAGAATAGAATATATTTGACATCACCTTTCCTGTGGATCTCAGTTTATTTAAATTTTAATGAGACAAGACACTCAGATCACCTTTCTTTCTTCTGAACCTTTAAACTACGATCCAACCCGCCCGCCTATTAGTAAATCGATCCTCACGACAGCATATACATCCCCATCATATAGATGGTTGGCAGGCCACAACTGTGCACTTCTCACGTAGCTTTCTGCCTCGATAATGAAACTAACTACTACTAACAGAATCGATAACAAAAATGTGGAATGATCTGTCGTCGGCGGTATTTCCGAACCGATAAGACCTTCAAACCTTCAAGAAAAGGCGTATTCATTTTTAAAAGCGACGCTGATCGCTTACCATCAGCGATCAGTCCGCCTCCTATTCCATAAAAAAACATCTAAACTAAGAACCAAGACTTTCTGCCCAGCAGTTGAATTTGATAGTAAACCAACTAAGAAATGAGAATCAAAATTTTTCTTCAGGATCACCTACCAGTCCATGCGAACGCATCAGGTGATGGAGATGGTGTTCCTGGGCGGTGTTGTCGACTGTGCGGAGGCGATACTAACCTCCGCTACTTCGGAGACACATACGTCTGGGAAGGGGTTGAAGAGAGATACGACCAGCTCTTGTTTGACTGCTTTGGGGTGAAGGTAAGGTTTAAAAGGAGATAGTTCCTGCTAACATTTTTTAATTGAGTTAAAGAATTTGTCTAAGTTTATGAGCCGTATGATGACGTTGGACTAGAAAGCATTTGTTATTAGCTCAGATGCGGATTAACCCTAAAAATCGTCCTAGGCTAGCACCTCAAAGTTGTACCTACCTAATTGGGTACTTTCCTTAAAATCAAAAATAGGTAAATTATTTCGACTGTTCAATTCAATAAAATATTAAAACGTATTCACACTGTAGCGGATTATCACTTGGACCACCACCTTACAATTCATTTTTCCAATTCATTGTTGGTGCCGGTACTACTACCCGCACCACAACACTTTTATTAAATTGATTTTATGACCAACTTAATTTTAGTCTATTTCTGTACTGTTTGACGCTAAAAAACGTGATGTTACAATACGCAATTTTGTATAAAATTCGTAGAAAATTGTCGTTTATGTCAGTTCGAAAAACGTAGGTATTGAATTTGACTAGTTGGCGAGTACCCAATTTTGTTTAGCGTCGCCGCCAGTCTATGGGCAGTTCAGTACGCGCGTTTCGTAGAGCCCCTTTGTAACTGGGCGCCATAGGCACTTGCCTAGTTTGCTTTAGGGATAATACAGCAGTGATCTTTGCTGTCAGATTATCCCAAACTTGGAACATATGACAAACGATGTTGATATGTACAAGAAAGAAAGAAAAATCATTTATTTTGCTACGACACACAACAAGAAAAGAAAAACACAAAAAAAACGTATGGTGCGTCGCAGCGCAAAAGGCTGGAGCTCAGCTTAATACCGTGGACCGGGCACAGAGGCTCGAGCCCACGGCGCTGATTTTCAGCACCAGCCCGTTATAGTACGTACTAGTTACACCTACGGTAACTACAACTTGCAGATTTTTTTTTTTTAGGTGACTCCAGCAGATTGCATGATCTGTGAGTGGTGTGTTCGTGCTTTGAGGAACACGGAACGGTTTCGTGCTCTCGTGCATGCGGCTTTCGACCATCGTCCGAGCGATGGCAAGTTTATTTTCCTTTATGTATTAAAAAATGGCAACTTTTTGTTACAAATAAGTCGAGATAGTCAATAAACATCGTTTATCGTAGTGCAACTAAACTATTCTGTAACTATTAATTTGAACTTTCGAAATGAGCTCGCATGCTTTCCCGTCTTTGGTTGAGATTATATCTCACAACCAATGCTATGGCGGACAGCGATCGAGTTCATTTCGATCTTTTGAATTGAAAGGTATAGAATAGCCTAACTGATAATAGTCAGAGCTGCTAGACTCAAAACAGGCTGGACGCGTCCAATCTGTCTATTCAAAAGTCATCGGGCCCTTTCGAAATATGGCCTATGTTCAATAACGGATGAAATGATGATGTTCCGTTAGAGACTCAGTCACTAAACTAATAACAGAGCACTGTCATACAACAGTAATAATGGCATCGTTACAGTATCGTCAAGTACTACATTGAAATCTATAAGCACTAAATACGAGGCCACGTCCATAAAACAAGAAAAAGAGCAGAAGTTAAAGCCAAAATGTGAAGTGGCTAAAAGACGAGATGCTAGAAAGAGGTTTTTTGCGAACGGCGTCAAAGCTAAAAGGATAAATATCCCATGTGACGTTTGTAAGCAAAGGTACGTGTTGTATTGCCAAACATTTTCAAAGAACTCGGTAGATGTCGCTACTTGTTCTAAGTATGATTGCCAAACAAGAGGACTGAGACAACTCGGGTTTGATTCCCGTCCTGGTACCTAGCTTGATTTCTTTCGTCTCTCGATTTACCGAAGCCTGAAACTGGCCATCAGCTGGCTAGTTTCTAAGGCTATTCTGTAAGAAGTCAATTCGAACTCTTGGAGCGAGCTCGATCGCATTCTCGCTGTCTACAGAATAACTTAGGAGAATAGCCAGTATAGATGTGTTTGGCAACACTAGGTTCACTTCCGATTACATCAAAACTACTAAAAATATATCCCTCTGCCTACACCTTTAGAGATTAAATACGCGTAACGTTAAGATTAGATACGACAGCATGCACAAATTCGACAAGAGGATTGGGTAGTTGCCAGGGTATCAAAATTAAAAATCTAATTAGTCCGTCATTTAGATAATGAAAAAATATTGTTATTTTCTCGTATTAAGTTGCAAAACTTGATAAAATGGCGCTAAGTTTAGGAGTGGGAGGTTGTTACGTCATAACGTGCTACAAAATGTGACACGCTGTGACGTCAAACGATATTTAAAATTAAACTGTCAAACACCAAGCGGTCACCGGTGACCGCAACCTATTGTTCTATAATTGTGTCTACAAAACCGGTACTCGACGAGTTAATATATCGTCAAAAGTATTTTATTTTGTGAGAAAACAATAAATACTTGTCTAAGGTTTTAAATTAATCTACCAGACGGACATTAAAATAAAATTTAGAAAACGACCCCACGACTACATGACAAACAGTATACCGTATTGAAGAATTTGATAAATTAATTAATTTTTGTGTAGGTACCCAATGCTAATTTCAAGTGACGAAAGGAAAACCTTCGTCTGTTCCCGTTGCAAGAAGAATGATGAAATAAAAGGAGGTGCTCTCTGTAGGAAGTGTAATATAATGATGCCTTCAAATATGTTAAAGGAACATCTAGATTTACATGCGAAAGCACAACTTAGAGGGAAAGCCAGGTAAGTACCAAATTATGCTACAATTGATAGAAACTAGGCTTTTTTTGAGGGGGGAAAATCATTTTTTTTTATGGCATAAGCCGGTAAACGGCCAGACGGATCACCTGATGGTAAGCAATCGGCGGCGCCCATGGACACCTGGAACACTAGAGGCGTTGCAAGTGCATTACCGGCCTTTTGGGGGTTAGGAGTTTGAGGATTGTGGGGGATTCGGGGATTGGGGAGATTGGGGAAGGGGAGGGTAATTGGGCCTCCGGTAACCTCACTCACACGACGAAACATAACGCGAGCGTTGTTTCACATCTGTTTTCTGTGAGGCCGTGGTATCACTCCGGTCGAGCCGGCCAATGGCTCTCCCACACTTGAAATTCGTTCATTAACTTCTACCGCCCAGGTGAGGCGAGAGGGAGTGTCAGACTCTTACTGACTAGAAACCCCCGTTTTTTTAATGTTACAGATTAATTCTCCACGGACTCTTGGTCCGTGCCCTTGTCATAATTTTTTTTATTACAATACGTCTATCAATTTTTATAAAGTAAAGTAGCTACCTAGTTACACATTACGATTAACAACATCTGTAATAATTATTACCAAAAGAATACAGTAAACAATAATTAACTATTTTTCATTAACATCTATTTCGACGGTTCTACAAAATCAGCCCTCCAACACGGTGGGAGAGCCGACCTGACCTAGCAGAAGGCACCGTTCACGAGTATGACGTGTGTGTGTCAGCAATTGGTCCGGTCAACCTTTTTATTGGGAACGGAACAACCCAACACACAGCGCCACCAACTGTACGACATTTATGTGTGCATGACGCCTCAGTCCTTGTTACGTTGCTTGGCTGATTCCAATAGAGCTAACAATACATTGCTTAGAGATATTCATGTTTTATTGTAGGCCGCATCGTCGCTTACCATCAGGCGAGATGGATGAACAATTAGGTTGCATAAAGCAGCTAGGTTCCACAACCATCAAAATGATGGTTGTGGAACCTAGCTGCTTAAAGTTAAAATAACTTATGCAACGCGGCATTCGATTTTCGTTTGTGTCGGACGCACGCGCGCAACTCTAGTGACAACACGCCACCTCACTATCCCTCTTCCCCGCTTCCCCGCCACTGACCGCTCGACGCTTGCGTGGAATAGAAACGTCATGAACAGAACAATGAGTTCCGCGCCGGAGCCGCGACGCACACGCCCCATATTTGTGCCGCGAATATTTTGAGTTTTATCTTTTTTGTTTTATTGTGCAACTTTGTTTATACTTAGTTTAGGGAACAGAGAGTATAGTTCCCTAAGATCGGAAAAGGAGGATCCTCCGACCAGGCGAGGTGATCGTGCCTAGCGGGCTTTCTGCCCGACAGTTGCTTGTTGGGATTTTCTATCCGTGTTAAATCGAATGTAAACTTCGCATGTGCGATGTAGGATTTTGTGACGTCATCCGTTGACTTGTGACATGTGTCGCCACACTTAGTTAAAGTTGAATCCAATATTATACAGTTTACAGTTCAATCGTGTGTTGAACTTCATTTCATGCCCTAAGATGCCACAAAGACAATCTTTCAGTATAACTTATGGTTTCAGACTCCAGCAGGCCAAAAAATCTACACTGTTATCAGTGAACAGTACGACAAAGCAGAGAGCTCAGAAGTTCCAATGTACCCGTTGTCCGAAGAAGTACGCAATGGCTAGAAATTTGGTGCTACATGTTAGGATCGCGCACGGGGATAGTCTTGATACGTTGTGCTCTGGTTAGTTCTAGAATATTGCAGTGAGTTTAGAGGTATATTTATAAATAAATTGCGGCTTTTGGACTCAAAAAACCGATGATGAGACCTTGAGATTCAACGGTACATTTGACGCTCACGTTGCTGATTCGGTTTTCCTTGCTTCACTGACGGACAAACTGACAGACCAATTTTGTATTTGTCGACGTTTCAAAAGTACCAAATTATGGTTTAATTGAAATAAATGCTATGACTTTGATTTTCGCTTTCAGGGAATCTGCGTACGGAAGGAAAGTAATATGTTTTTTTTTTAAACTTTGCTTTACACCAGGATTTTCTCCTGTGTCGTCGTGGGTGCGTTTACAAACATACAAGTTCACATACACATGATACCCCGACCCGGAACAACAATCTGTGGATCACACAATGAGTTGTTTCGAGCGGTACCAGTCACCGCGTCAATCGTGCAGGTATTGTATCTTGCACCAGCAGTCCAATCATAAATGACTGCTATAACAACACAGAAGAATACATCGCGACCAACGAGGACGTCGCGCGGTCGTAAGCCACTATATGTTGAGTAAGATAGACATATCTTAGCGGCTCTTTCTCTCACAACCCCGGAGACCGCGGCGCTCGCGTCGCCAGCCTGCGCTTACACGCCTACTAGGCATACAGTGTTAAGTTCTACCCGCTATACTAAACCCATAATTGTAACCTTGTATTTAATCAGTACTTCCAGTGAGTGTTGTTTCTCGAAATACAATTATTAATCGAACTCGACTTTACTAATTTCCAATCCTGAGAACCTCCTCTCATACTGCGCGGTTGGTGCGGTGGTTGGGGCAATCTGCTGCCATGCAACGCGTAGCATTTTCGATTCTCGCACGGAACAACTCTTGGTGGATGACACAAAAAGTTGTTCCGGGTTTGAATGAGATGTGTACCTATGTGAAATTGTGTGCCTAGGTATTTGTAAACGCACACCACACACGAGAAAATCCTAATGTGGCGAAGGTTATTAAAAAAAAGGTTTCATATAACCTATCATAACATCGCGCCTTTTATCCCCGAAGGGGAGGGCAGTGATGCACATTACGCCACTGTACAATGTAACTTTTTCACTATTTATGTTATGAGTCCCATGTAATAGGGGGTGAGCCTATTGCCATATACCGGGCACAATTCCCGACTCCGTGCTACTACTGAGAGTTTTTTAAAAACCCAGTAATACTTTGCCGGACTTGGGAATCGAACCCGAGACCCCTTTCCTGGCAGTCGCATTTGCGACCACTCGGCCAACGAGGCAGTCATGTTACAATTTTTCTAAGTACACAATATTTTTGAAGAACATGTCAGCAGTGAACGTATTGTGGTTGATATGACTTCGTAAACATATTTTTTTTTGTCACCAGTTTGTGGGCAAAATATGATAACGAGGGAGAAGTTGGAGAGTCACCTCGCGACCCACGGCAGTCCACACCAGTGCTACGAGTGTCTCCTGATCTTCAAGAACAAGCAGGCTCTTGTAGCCCACAGTACTAGTCATCATATCAAGTCCACCTCCACGTCCAGCTGAATATAATATTGACACATTATACTTTTGCACATAATTATATTTTTGTTTTATTTTATTACGTTTCGTACGTGCGGTTTCACTCGCGGCGCGGCTTCTATTGACCGTAGCGTGCTATTTCAAAGTCTTCCTCCGCTTGTTGGATTATCCAACCACAGACGTTGAAAAACAGTGGACACAGTCTCTTGAAACAACGACTGTGGCACCTGACTACTATAGACTTACACGCAGAATACACACACATTGACACGAAGTACTTCCATCGCGTGACATGGCCCGTCATTACACTTCATACATTACGGTGTTGTAAGTATACGCACACATGAATACACCACTGACATTTTGTTGTTTCAATCAATGAATGAATCATTTGATTGAAACAACAAAATGTAAATTACATTACGTCCACCTTTTGTCAATGTCTTTATATCCAGCTTAAAGATAATTATTAAATGTGAATGTTATAGGTCACGCGTGAGTCGAGAGTCTGGCGTAGGGTACGCGATTTATGCGCTTATTTTAAATTCGCGTGATGTTTGTGTACGTGATGTATTGGTGTCTAGTATCTCATAAACGCGCGAATCGTTTCGCGGCGAATACGCCATTTGTGGACAAGCTCCAAGGTCTTAATCGCGTGCGCTACGCCAGTTTCTCAGTCGCGCGTATTGCGCACGAGTTTAGATACTAAGCACGCCTTGTTGCGTCCAGTTGTCGCGCGGTCGTAAGCCACTAAGATATGTTGAATAAGATAGACATGTCTTAGCGGCTCTTTCTGTCGCAACCTCGCGCAAGACCGCGGCGCTCGCGTCACCAGTCTGCCGCTTACGCGCCTACTAGGCATACATACATACATTGGGCTCGCTGTCATTGCAGCGGTAAGTCCCCTCTTTGAGGAGTGGCTTGAGAGACGCTACGGCGTCCTCACCTACCGCCTGACGCAGGTGCTTATCGCACACGGAAGTTTCGGTAGGTTCGTGTTTCGGATTGGAAATTGAACCAGTTACACGTTTCCTCTCTATCTCCCTCTGGCATAAGCTTCCAAGTCGAAGAAACAAAAGACAAAAACATTTTACGGAACATCTTTATTAATTCACTATTTTATGTATTTGTAAACAAGTTAAGTACATATTTTTGGGACTAGTGTGAAGAGGGTTAAAATCTACGCGAATTTTGAGCATTGCTTCCGAAGTGGTGGCGGTGGCATCCTCAGAGAGGCCACGAAACTCTTGGTGCTTGACAACTCCTTCCGAAGACGTATGATGTCCAGTTCAGCTTGCCTTTTACGCTGTAAACAGAAGACCGTTCTTCAGCCATAAGTACATGTCTACATTAGCTCATGACGATATCAAGAGTGACTCTCGCTACCATCAGTTGACTGGACATCTACACTACACGAGTCACTGTTTACATGTGAACATTAGCTCATGACGATACCAGCGTACGTGTGTCACTGGACAGTGAACCTCGCTACCATCAGTTGACAGGACATCTACACTATACGAGTCACTGTTTACATGTGAACATTAGCTCATGACGATACCAGCGTACGTGTGTCACTGGACAGTGAACCTCGCTACCATCAGTTGACTGGACATCTACACTACACGAGTCACTGTTTACATGTGAACATTAGCTCATGACGATACCAGCGTACGTGTGTCACTGGACAGTGAACCTCGCTACCATCAGTTGACTGGACATCTACACTACACGAGTCACTGTTTACATGTGAACATTAGCTCATGACGATACCAGCGTACGTGTGTCACTGGACAGTGAACCTCGCTACCATCAGACTGGCCAATTTCATCTGTTAACATAAATGGATAGATCTGTCTACCTTTAGTTCGTTAGCAAGTCGTGCCTCAACTTGAGCGACTCGTTGTCTCAATTCAGCGATGTCCCTCATCAGACGAGCAGCAGCCAATTTGTTATCAGCCTGAAATAAATCATTATATTTAACTATTCTCCATATTTTTAACCGACTTCAAAAGAAGGAGGTTCTTTTGACCTGTATGTACCTATGTATGTTTGTGCACGAATATCTCAGGATTGGCTAAACCGATTTTGATGCGGTTTTCAGTACAGTTTTGTCATACTTAGGAGAAGGTTTTAATCCTTACTAATATTATAAATCGGAAAGTGAGTTTGTTTGTTTGTTCCGCTTCCACGCCGTAACTACTAAACCGATTGCTTTGATTTTTTGCAGACGTAAAGTTAAAAGTCTGGATTAAATAATAGGGTACTTTTTATCCCGGAAAAATTTGATATTCCCGAAAGAAAACAAAAGTATTGGTATAGATGGCGCTGTGTGTATAGGTATTTCACATAGGCTACTTTTTATCCTTATGTGACGCGAGCTAAGCCGCGGGTAAAAGCTAGTATAATAATAAACTGACTTCAAAAAACAGAGGGGGTTGGAGTATGATTTTTTAAACGTAGTTTTTTTATTGCGTCTTTTTCTAACCATGCATCCGTGCTACCATCCGTGCGTCACTGCATGGGTCCCCACTGAAAATCAGTGCTGGGTAACCAGTATGCCTGGCTTACACTGAGTGGGTGACCCTTTTAGCATAGGCATGTTGTCAGCGTCTCTCTTCTAATTCTTCTGTTTTAATTTTTCAACTCAATGTTTTTATTACTTCCACTGTCATACCTTTATTGTATTTTTTATATTTTATTTATGCTGCATCGTGCCTGGTGCTGAATACATGTTTTATCTTTCTTTCTTTCTTTAGTTTATAAAAGAATTATGTTTGACTCTTGTGCCTTGTTCCTAAGTGACCTAACGTGATAATAAAAAGGCTATAATTCTCTTTAAGAATGGAGCGATCAAGTGCAGAAGGAATTTTCCAAATCGGACTGATAGTTTCACGGATATGCGCTTTCAAATTTAAATAAGCAGACAAAACTAATATCAAAACTTTTTTGCTCTATTTCGTGTAGTACAGTGAAACTTGGTTAAGTAGGACCTGGATAAGTGAGAAACCTCCATAACTGGTATATGGAACTCATGCTAAGGTCCTAACACTTTGGCACTGAATTACCTCTGTTAGTGGGACGAGGTAAACTCTATATCTGGGATTTGTTCTTTCGATTTATCATCATAGTTACCTCTATATCTGAGACAGCGAGTTTTATATGCATAAACCTCTGTAGGTAACTGAGATAACATTGTTTGTTTACTCATTCTTATTCTACCTACAAATTCCATGCGTAATTCCAAGTCCACCTCTATTAATCGAACCCTCTGTAAATGAGACAGAAATTTATTTATAGCTGTATATCTGAAACACTGGGTAAGTGGAATACCTCTATAAGTGAAACGGCATTGCAGATCCCTTGATGTCTCACTTAACCAGGTTTCACTGTATAATGTAATTAAAACATGTAACCAAATAATTATTATTAAACTTATATACCACAATAATACACAGTAACACATAGAGTTATTAAACAAAATAATAGGAAATTTTATTTCTACAGATTGTACAAACAACAATTAAAAACTGGTGCGTGCTAAAGTTATTATGACATTAGTATTTTACTTCAGGGTTTCTTATCAAAATCAACTGTTTCTCGTGTGTAATTGGAAAAAAATATTACAGAAATGCTCTTCTTTTCAACGTCCTGAGCCTACCTCATAAGTTCGTGTCTTGGTTTCAATTCTCATAGGAATTCGGATTTTTTACCTCCCCCCTCTTCCCCAATCTCCCCAATCCCTGAATCGCCAACAATCCTCAAATTCCTAAACCCCAGAAGGTCGGTAGAGCACTTGTAACGCCTCTAATGTTCAAGGTGTCTATGGGCTATGGGTGATGCCGATTGCTAACCATCAGGTGATCCGTCTGCTCGTTTACCGACTTATCCTATAAAAAATCTTATTATAATAGTCGTAATTTTAATTATAAATAGTCATTGACTAAACTAATTGACTCAGTACTAATAAACCAACGATAGAGAATGGAATCGCGTACTTTCAAATTGTGTAACATAACTAACACATGTTACAAGTGATTATGTCTGTTTGCACTCATCAACTTGACCAATTTCACTTCAAGGAATAAACAACTTTGCCACCCAACTCGAACAAGGTGTAGAAATATCACACCTGAGACGTCTCACTATCTACTATGCATGGGACCCACTATTAACACCTCTATTGTTACTAGAATATTAATATTGTTTATGGTCGCCACTGACTGTCTATGGTTTCACTTTTGACATTGACATAGGAACCTTTGTGACACTTTAGGCGATTACCAAAGAGTATAATATTTTTTTAAAGGAGGAAAATCATGCAATGTCTTCTCCCGCCCGGGTGAGGCGGGAGGGTGTGTCAGACTCTTACTGACTAAAAACCACCCCGTTCCTACTCCTGCAATTCGAGCCGGAGCCCCGACAACCCGTTAGGTTCTCCGCGGCAGTATAATAAGTATATGGGCCGGTTACACTTTCAAGAACAAGTCGATTAAAAGTTTTACTATTGAACATGAATATTATTTAAATGTCTGCCCCTGAATTACTCGGCGCACAACTCCCATTACATGGGACTCATAACACAACTTGGCATAAAGTGCTACCTACATAAATCATCAAGAGAAAGACTCTGCTCCTTCGTTATCAAAATCCTTCTAAGGTCCAGTTCCCATGGATTTAAAACTCAATAAGTAATTTACATTTTACAAAGCGTGCTTCAAAAAGTTCTAGGCATACTGCAATTAACAATTTGACACGGAATCTGAACCTTATGTCCGTAACCCTAGAACTCACATTTCTAGACGGTGCATTTTTAGCAACACTCCTACTGACCACATTTGGTAAATCTGCAACTGAACACTGGGTGAACATGCTATCTGAGACCGGACATTTCGTCACCATCCCTTGAATTGCCTGGAGAGAGAAAAAAAATACAAAATTATTTTTTTATATAGATATTTGATGGGCCGACGTTTGCCTTTTATCTCGCCTAGTGGTAAGCGATTATGCGGCCTACGATGGAGCACGTCGACCCATAAGCAACCTATTCACTCGGGCCTTGAAGGCACCCAGGTTATATCCTGCAGGAAATACAGACGTAATTCGTAAAAAAGTAGTAAAAGTATTCCACTCCTTAGAAGTACGCACAAGGAAGCAGCTGCACCAAGATCTGCAGTAGATACAACCATGCAAACACCGGAACACAATGAAATAAATCAAATGATAATAATAATTATGGTAGGCATTTTTCTCTTAAATGGAACAAGCCCGCCGCAACACCCCAAAACCGCTGCAACTTCTACGCTGTGCTCAGCTGTAGCCAAATGCCATTTAGCGCTTGTCTACATGTAGAATAGAAAACCGAATTATATGGGATTGACGTAAATTTTGACACTTGTCAGTGTCATCCCCATATATTTTGATTTCTACTCTCTCTATAGACAAGCGCTAAAGTGGCGTTTGGCTAAAGCCAGTGGCTATAGCCAAATGCCATTTAGCGCTTGACTACTTGTAGAATAGAAACCAAATTATATGGGATTGACGTAAATTTTGACACTTGTCAGTGTCATCCCCATACATTTAGTTTTCTACTCTCTCTGTAGACAAGCGCTAAAGTGGCGTTTGGCTAAAAGCCCAGGATCTACAGTAGATTCAACCATGAAAACACCGGAACACTGAAGTCCGGCGCGTCTCTGGGATATGAACAACTGACTTGGATCTAGCGATGATGATGGACGATGATAATAGTTGCATTGTAGTGACAGTAGAATACATTATTTTTGTCACCAGCCCTGCTCTTCCTAAGAGCCAATTAATGTAGGCTACACCTTACGATTACATAACAGAACGCCATTTATCCCTGAAGGGGTAAGCAGAGGTGCACATTACGGCACTTAATGCTACTGTTACAAGGTAACACTCACTTTTAATGAACTATTTATGTTCACGAACGAATTATATGGTCAGGAACAGTAAGATGATCATGGACGCTTTCTATCTAATGATGATGATGATGATGAAGAAGACTCCTTACCTGAGCGACAGCACTCCTAGCATGCTGCAGATGATGAGCCTCCTCCTTCTCCAAATGTCGCTTTAGGTGTTCAATCTCAGATACTATGCTAAATTTCTCCTTCTCAAGCCTTTGGTTAGCCTGTTTTAGAGCCTGCAATATTCCGAACTTTTATATAATTCATTCATACATGTACCCTCTAAAAGACAGCCTTAAAAATTATATGTTAAATATCTGAGAGTGAGAGGGGACAGTCATGTTTGCACAATTGGGCCGGTTCGACCGGAGTGATACCACGGCTACAGAAAAGGGCATGAAACCACGCTTGCATTGCATTTCGTCGTGTAAGTGAGGTTACCGGAGACACAATTCCTCCCCTACCCAATCTCTTCAGTCCCCAAATCCATAATTCTAAAATCCCTAACCCCCAGAAGGGCGCCAATGCAATAAGTGTAACAAATGTTGAGTTATAAATGTCTAAAGCCTAATACTACTACCGTTTTTCAACCGACTTCAAAAAAAAGGAGGTTCTCAATTCGAATGTATTTTTTTTATTCAAACACTAGACAGCGCTAATTTACCAAGCAGTTTTTTAGCCCAATCACTGCAACTGTCAAAGTTTGAATGACCAATGGTATGACCACTAGCTAATTGGGTATATCATACATCGATCAACAATTGGATTTTTTCCTTCATGAAAAATAAATTATTTCGACTGTTCAATACAATAAAATATTAAAAAATAATCACACTTTCATTAATTGATTTTATGACCAACTCAATTTTAGTATTTTTACAGCATATTTTTAACAAATAAGTATGCTGTTTGACGCTAAAAAAAAGTGACTACTACTTGGCACTAGTAGTCTTTGTTAAAATTTCAGTTACTAATAGGTAACTAACTGAGGCTTTAATAACAATATTCCTATAGCTATATTCCTGTCCTGCTATTCCTATATAACTATAACAATATTCCTATCTCACCTGAGGGTTTATTAAACTGTCAAACACCGCGAGGATACTGGTGACCGCAACCTATTGTTCTATAATTGTGTCTATAATGATGGTACTCAACGAGTTAAACTGTCAAACACCAAGCGGTCACCGGTGACCGCAACCTATTGTTCTATAATTGTGTCTATAATGACGGTACTCAACGAGTTAATAAAGGAACAACAATATTCCTTTGTTAAAATTAACTCGTCGAGTACCGGTTTTGTAGACACAATTATAGAACAATAGTTTGCGGTCACCGGTGACCGCTTGGTGTTTGACAGTTTAAATAATGGGTAACTAACTGAGGCTTTAACTGAGTATAAAAAAATTGGCTCTTAACTCGTCGAGTACCGTGTAGACACAATTATAGAACAATAGGTTGCGGTCACCGGTGACCGCTTGGTATTTGACAGTTTAATGGAGAACGTCAAATAAACCAGATAGTGACTGAGGCTTCAACAGACAGTTATATATAACAGTCAGTTAGGAAGTTTAACTGCTGGATAAAGCCTAACTGTTTATTGAAAAATCGAGAATCTTATTAACTATTGATTATGTACTAACTGATGACTTAACTGAGTATTGATAAATCGGTCCTAAGTATAATTCTGACACTACAAATTATTTGGAAAATGAAAGAGATGTATTTAAGTACCTACAATTTAAAATTGAGTAGCCTTGCATATTTAGGTTGTTTTCAGGGTATCAAAATTAAAAATCTAATTAGTGTGTAATTTAGATAATGAAAAAATATTAGACACGTATTTTTTTATTTTCTCGTATTAAGTTGCATTACTTAGATAAAATGGTGCTAAGTTTAGGAGTGCGAAGTCGTTACATCATAACGTGCTACAAAATGTGGCACGCTGTGACGTCACATGATATTTCAAATCAATATGTCGTCGAAAGCATTTAGTTTTGTGAGAAAAGAAAAAATACGTGTGTGTATAGTTTCAAATTAATATACCAGACGGACGTTGAAATAAAATTTAGGAAACTATCCTGTTCAGGCGTTACTTGTCTACCTAGAAAGACCATAGGTTCTTACTTTCATTCGTTCTTTCTTCTCCAAATGGCATTCATCGATTCTTCTCTTCAACTTTCTTCTTAATTCATCCAGAAGATTTGAAAGAGTGACCCGATTCGCTTCTAGATCAGCCCGCTGTTGCACAATCTGGTTGATCGAAGTCAATAGTTTGATTCCTGTGCAAAGACATACCATCAGTTGACTGGACATCTACACTACTGTGAAAATTAGCTCATGACGATACCAGCGTACGTGTGTCACTGGACAGTGAACCTCGCTACCATTAGTTGACTGGACATCTACACTACACGAGTCACTGTTTACATGTGAATATTAGCTCATGACGATACCAGCGTACTTGTGTCACTGGACAGTGAACCTCGCTACCATCAGTTGACTGGACATCTACACTACACGAGTCACTGTTTACATGTGAACATTAGCTCATGACGATACCAGCGTACGTGTGTCACTGGACAGTGAACCTCGCTACCATCAGTTGATTGGACGTCTACACTACACGAGTCACTGTTTACATGTGAACATTAGCTCATGACGATACCAGCGTACGGGTGTCACTGGATAGTGAACCTCGCTACCATCGGTTGACTGGACAGTAACTTACGTTGTTCATTATGCCGATATCTCTGGGCAGCTGGCTGGAAACTGAAGGCCTCTGGACTGGGAGCTCCAGAGTCCTGCCCAGGGTATGATTGTGAGCTCACATAGTTGGGTGAGTCCGTGGAGTCCTGAGTACAAAATAAAATGGTGTTTAAGCTCTGTATTAGCGATATTTTATTGTATACCTTTATAACTTTCGTGAGACATACTAAATGATAATTATTATGTATTTCGGCTTACTCACGTGATTATTTGACGAGGAACTCAACTAGTTTCAGGACATGCTAGAGTTTCATATTCATGAGCAGCATTCCGCGACCGGCGACGCGGCGACTGTCGCGCTACTGGTCGAACATGAGCCTCTAGCATAACATGAGTTCCTCGTCAAACAATTGGGATGATGACAGGGTATGAAAATTAAAAATATAATTAGTCCGTAAGTTAGGTAATGAACAAATATTGTCTAATATTTGTGTCTACGTATTTTTTTTATTTTGTCGTATAATAAAACAATACTTAGATAAGACAAATTAAAGTTTAGGAGTGGGGGCTAAAACGTCATTTCTACGGATAAGTGTACATAGAAGTGACGTCACGCGGCATTTCAAATCAATATATCGTCGAAAGTATTCGTTTCTGTATAAAAATAAAAAATATGTGTGTAATGATTTAAAATTATCTACCAGGCGGTCATTAATATAAAAATTAGGCATCTACCCTATTACGCGAATAAGCCGAAAAAAAATGGACACTTTTGTTTTGTAAAAGTTAAAATCTTTTGTAAAAGTAAAAAAAAAAAAAAAGTTAAAAGCCAAGAGGTGGGAAATGTACAAACATTTCCCACCTCTTGGCATAGCTAGGTAAGGGCATAGAACATACAAAACCTTATTTATATAATAATGATTAATGTTATTTGGGTAAGAAGTGTCAAAATTAGCTTCTGCCCTGAAATCGTGTCAGATTATTACTGACCACAGAATACTTACAATTGAAAGCGAATCACTCCAATGCGGGAACATGATTTTCAATATTTCCATGAACATTTTGAAATAAGTAATCTATATATATAAAAGAAAGTCGTGTTAGTTACACTATTTATAACTCAAGAACGACTAAATCGATTTGGATGACAATTGGTGGGGACGTAGCTTAGAACCAGGAGACGGACATAGGATACTTTTTATCTAATACTAACGGGAACGGGGGAAAATGGGATTTCGCGTAAGAAGTCGCGGGCAGAAGCTAGTTAGTCCTATTTTCTGACGATCTCCTCAAGAAATGTCGAAAATCCTCGGTGCACTTTTACACACCACAAGCAAGCTACATGGTCACATACGTGGTTTTTAGTCAGTAAGAGTCTGACACTCCCTCCCGCCTCACCCAGGCGGGAGCAGTCTTTCGATGATTTTCCACACTTAAAAAAAAAAAAAACATGGTTACATAACTTTCATCCAGTAATTTTGGCTTAGTGACCGTTTTTTCACCATCGAATGAATGCAATTTAAAAACATAACTTAATAAAACCTCTTTTTTTAGATTCAAATTAAGGCACAAATACTCGAAGACAGACATTTAATACTAAAAACTCTGAACATCTCTACCTATGTAGATAGACAAAATTCCACTACTTCTAAGACTTAGCCAAAAATCAATACAGTTCAGCTATAAAAGAAATAAAATTGACAAAAATATATTGTATCTGCAATACTTCTCTAGGATTCCGTAGTGAGACTTTTAAAAACATGACAATCTCGCCTTTTTACCCTCGAAGGGATAGACAGAACATAATATCACGCCTTTTTATGCCCGGTGGGTTAGGCAGATGTGCATATTACGGCCCTTAATGAATAATGCCACTGTACAATGTAACACCCACTTTTCACTATTTATGTTATGAGTCCCATGTAATAGGGGGTGAGCCTATTGCCATATATCGGGCATAATTCCAGATTCCTGCCACACAAAACCGAAAACCTTTCAGCAATGTTTTGTCCGACACGGGAATTGAACCCGAGGAGACCTTTTTCTCAGCATACAGCAGTCACACTTTCAACCACTTCAACTTCGACTATTGTGAGATAGTCAAAGTCATTTATTTAAATTCGATCAGGAGGCTTACTCTTGAATCCAATTCCGATCGATCGACATTGGTATTGAATTGCAACACTAGCGCCCATTGCATCCGTATTGCGTGGATATTAAATGAATTAAATTTTATTGAGTTTGGCTTTATATTCCGTACTCTGAATGCTATTTCAACAACTACGATAGGGGTTGTATAGTTTTGACATTGAATAATTATTGAGATTTTATTGGATTGAAATTGCATTGACATTGAGATTGGTTTGAAGAGTGAGCACCCAGGAAGGCACTTTTGAACGTCAACAAAAATTTTACAGTGAAGCTATTTGCTCATTCCAACGTGTAGATTCATATAGAGAAGAACGAGCAAGAAACTCCATATCTGTATCATTATCCATTATGTAACTATAAAAAAAAATATTTGATACGGAACCCCGACCTTATGGCGGGCGCTTGTTTTTTTTTTAGAGTTCTCCAAGTTGCGTGTTATCATGCAAAGGGATCATTATTTTATTATGTATAGTCTGTGGTATCGTCTTTGAATGTAGAGCAATTGTCTATTGGAAGTAGGTCAAGGAGTTTGAACTGTAAAATTGGGACATTTGTTATCTGCGCGTATCTAATTATAATTTGTTTTCAGATCTTTCAAATTAAACATGATAATAATATTGATTTCTACGAACAGACTCAGAACAACAATGCATGAACCACACAAAGAGTTATTTCTTGCGAAACATTGTGCGCTTGTTCAGCATTTTTTTTAAGGGGGAATATCATCCTATGACTTCTCCCACCTTGGGTTAGGCGAGAGGGAGTGTCAGACTCTTACTGACTAAAAACCACCCCGTTCCTTCTCCTGCACGTCGAGCCGGAGCCCCGGTTACCCGTTAGGTTCTCCGCGAC